CCATTCAAGACAGGGGCAACAGCTCTTTAGCCCCAGGCCTGCCGGAATAGCCGGGTTTTGATAGCCTTTCGGAAGGCCATGAGAGTGGGTAGGGTCCGTATCTCTGGGGGTAGTTCATTCCATAGGGCTACAGAGAAGGCCCTCCTCCGGGGAGCCGCCAGCCGACATTATCTGGCTGACGGTACCTGAAGAAGTCCCACCCTGTACGATCTTATCGGCTGTTGGGAGGTATGCGGCAGTAGGCGGTCTCGCAGGTATCCAGTTCCTAAGCCATGTAGGGCTTTAAAGGTAATGACCAGCACCTTGAATCGTGTTTGGAGACCAGTAGGAAGCCAGTGCAGCTCGCGGAGGGTAGGTGTAACGTGGGTGTATCTTGGTAGACCCAGTATCGCTCGCGCGACTGCATTCTGGACTAGTTGTAGTCTCCGAACACTTTTCAGGGGCAGCCCCATGTAGAGCGCATTACAGTACTCAAGTCTTGAGGTGACGAGGGCGTGAGTGACCGTTTGGAGTGCCTCCTGATCCAAATAGGGCCGCATTCTGTCCTCCGGAGAGCCCCTGGAGCCTGGGGAAAGTAGTTTTTGTCCTCTCGGAGGCTCAAAGAAAGTCTCCGGAGCCTGGGGAGGGCAAAAAACAGGGTTTCTGGAAGTCTGGAGATGGGCCGTTTCCGGCCTCCGGAGCCCAGGGGAATCAGTTTTCACACTCCCCCCCGCCATGGTGCAGGAGGCCAACTAGGCCATGCACACCCAGCAATGGGGCACCGAATGCATTGCTGGACCTTTTGAAGCCCACCCCTGATAGGAACCCAAAGTACAGAAGGACCTCCACCATATCTTTAGAAGATGAAAGGAGTGTCTTCAGCATCCTGATACCTGATCCTGAACAAGTAGATAACCTCCCTTAAACAGTTTCTTGTATTGTTAAGATGCAAGTGGAGCTGTAGTACCAAGCAGTTTGGCATCTCACAAAGGAGCAGTTTAACGGATGTCCATATCATCAACTGAAGTCATTCTTCAAGTCAAGTCATTCCACTGGTTAATTGTTCTAATTGCAAGGAAATTCCTCCTTAGTTCTAGGTTGGTTCTCTCTTTTAGATCCCACAGATTAGGCCTCCTCCGAATTCCATCCACCGACCAGTGTCGACTGGTGACTACCCGGAGGTGAGCCTTCTCTGTGGCTGCTCCGACCCTCTGGAACGAACTCCCTGTGGAGATTTGAACCCTCAC